AAAGGAGATCATTTTGGAGCTATATGATTTGACTGCCCCATTGGATTTCGGACTTGCATGAGGCCTGTAGCTCCTTCATTTTGGCCGATTTCTCTCATTTGAAACAAGTGTATTTACCCAATGCCTGTATCCCCATTGTATTTAGAAAGTAACTAACTTGCTTTTGATTTTACAAGCTCATAGGTGGAAGGGACTTGCCTTGTCTCAGATGAGACTTTGCACTGTGGACTTTCGAATTAATACTGAAATGAGTTAAGACTTTGGGGAACCTGTTGGGAAGGCATGATTGGTTTCGAAATATAAGGACATGAGATTTGGGAGGGGCCAGTGGCAGAATGATATGGTTTGGCTGTGTCCCCACCCAAATCTCACCTTGAATTGTAATAATCCCCATGTGTCAAGGATGGGGCCAGGTAAAGCTAATTGAGACATGAGGGCAGTTCCCTCATACTGCTTTTGTGGTAGTGAATAAGCCTCACAAGATCTCACGTGCTTTTTTTTTGTTTGTTTTTTGGAGACAGTCTCACTCTGTCACCCAGGCTGGAGTGCAGTGGTGCAATCTCAGCTCACTGCAACCTCCACCTCCAGGGTTCCAGCAATTCTCCTGCCTCAGCCTCCCTGGTAGCTGGGATTGCAGGCACATACCACCACACCCAGTTAATGCTCTGATTGTTTTAAAAATGGGAGTTCCGGCCGGGCACAGTGGCTCAAGCCTGTAATCCTAGCATTTTGGGAGGCCGAGGCGGGTGGATCACGAGGTCAAGAGATCGAGACCATCCTGGTCAACACGGTGAAACCCCGTCTCTACTAAAAATACAAAACATTAGCTGGGCATGGTGGCGCGTGCCTGTAATCCCAGCTACTCAGGAGGCTGAGGCAGGAGAATTACCTGAACCCAGGAGGCGGAGGTTGCAGTGAGCCGAGATCGCGCCATTGCACTCCAGCCTGGGTAACATGAGTGAAACTCCTTCTCAAAAAAAAAAAAAAAAAAAAATGGGAGTTCCCCTGCAGAAGCTCTCTTGCTTGCCACCATGTAAGACATGACTTTGCTCCTCCATCACCTTCTGCCTTGATTGTGAGGCCTCCCCAGTTATGTGGAACTGTGAGTCAATTAAACCTCTTTCCTTTATATGTTACTCAGTCTCGGGTATGTCTCTATTAGGAGTGTGAGAACAGATTGATACAGTGACTTTCAATATTCCTAACTTATTCCATAAAAAACCTTATAAATGTTAATTTATTATACATCAGAAAGTATAATATTGTTTGTTATATTCCTGAAAAGTCACAGAAGAATGTTGTATCAAGCGTGTATACATAGGAAGTGAAGACAGATGATACTTAGAAAACTACTTCTTATCCCTAGGGTCTTGAACTCTTGATCTTTAACCAGCAGAATCCTCTCAGATTAGTCTCGTAGGTTAATTATTAAGAATTGTAGTTGTAAAAAAGTATGTATTGTTTCCTTTTAACTGTGGCCATGAACAGTGTGTCAACATACAAGGAGGAAGGTGAAGCAAAATTAATGCCATTAGAGAGGTGATTTGAGCCAAGGTTGAAGGTTACAACCCAGGAGTATAGGTTCAAGTTGCTCTGAATAGACACTCTCAGCAGCAGTTACAAGTGGATTTCCAAAGGCAAAAAAGGGCTTCAGGGAGTGGGTTGACACAAAGTTGTTTGTTAGGAATTCTCATTGGTTTACAGAAATAACATTGATTAGTAACTGGCTACACATTGTTAAGCTATAGGCTGTAGGTTACAGTGTTTGCTGTGGCATTATTAGGTTAATTTATTTAACCTAATTTAACCTTATTTAACTTGTGGCTGTAACAAGCAGTTTCAAGAGGTGAATATATAGCTCAAAGCGGGAAGTAGGGCATGACTGCTGTCTCATTTTAATGTCTCTTTGGGCCTAATAATTTTAAATGGCTCATATTTCTCAGATGAAAGTTCTTTTCTTTCCTCAAGTGTATATTCAGATGTTTACACAACCACAAGGGACTTGGAGAGGATCTATTATAATGCACACCAGTAATATAGTACAGTAATTCACTGGGAGAGTATATTTTCAATTTATTTCTTTGAGGAATTAACCTTTATTTATTGATGAGCTGGATCTTTCAAATCATTACAACGAAACATTGCATTATTCATACTAAATTAGGGGACAGGCCGTTCCAAGTAAAAGTTTTAAAATAATACCTTGATGTGAAATTGTTTTGTTTGGCCATTCAGAGGTTTCATCCGGCCAAGTTGAAATTTACAAGGTTATTTACATGAAGTCATTCATGTGCTAAAAGTTCTTCTAAAAAGTCAACTTCCTTAAAAAAAGTTAAGCAATGCTCCTATTTTAGCAAAAATGTGGTCAATTTTTAAAAATTTATATCCGTTTCTTGCCTAGTTACAGAATTAAATAAAAATATGTAGTGATCACATTTATCTAACACATTCTATGCCAAGTGCTGCCCTAAGTGCTTTCTGTATAGTAACTGATTTAATCTTGCCACAAACTCTATGTCAGAGATGTCTGAACCCGAGCGACTCCATCTTGAGTGAGGGCTAGGAAAATGAGGCTGGGACTTGCTGGGCTGCATTCTCAGAAAGTTAGGTATCCCTAGCCTCTAGATGTTTATGGTTAAGGGAACAGATTGATAATGTTTACTAAACAGACCCAGACTTGGGAATGTCCAGATATCCCAATATCTTGAGAACAAAGGGATTCCTAATTTTGCTTTAAAGATAATATTGATTCTTGCAAAACATAGTAATTATGAAAATTAATCCTTTATCACAAATCCTTGTAGCAGAGCATATCTCTCCATGATCTTTTTTTCATCCTGTGTATTTAAGGTATCTGGGGTAAACACATTCGTCCTCTTACTTTTGGGAACACCCTAGTCTGTCTATGGAGTAGCTGTTCTTTCACCACTTTATTTTCTTAATAAACTTGGTTTTGTTTTGCACTGTGGACTTGCCCTGAATTTTTTCTTGTGAAAGATCCAACAACCCTCTTTTGGGTCTGGATCAGGACCCCTTTCCTGAAACATCTATATGGGACGCATAATGTTTTTTCCATCTTATTTTACAGGTGAGGGAACTGAAGCACACTGAAGCTAGTGACTTCCCCATGTTCACAGTTAATAAGTGGTTGTTATGGGTAGAACTGTGCTCCTCCCAATTTCATACATTGATGTCCTAATCCCCAGCACCTCAGTACGTGACCTTATTTGGAAATAGGGTTGTTGCAGATGTAACTAAATTAAAATGAGTGTGAATAATGGAGTGCAAATGAAGATGAAGGCACAGATGGGATGGTGCCTCTCCACTCCAAGGGACACCAAAGATTCCCTCAAACCACCAGAAGCTGGGAGAGAGGCATGGAACAGACTTCCTCACAGTCCTCGGGAGGCAGCAACCCTGCTGATACCTTCATCTTGGCCTTGCAGCCTCTAGAACTGTGAGGTGATACACTTCTGTTGTTTAAGGCACTCTGCAGTACTTTGTTACCCTAGTCCTAGGAACTGATTACAGGGGTGGAGCCAGGATCAAAACAGGCAGGGTGCTCCAAGACTTGGTGCTTTTCACCAAATTCTCTGCTCCTCCCCTAATAGGGCTAATCAAAATAAAAACAGACATCTCCCCCCATCCCACCCCAAAAATGGCACAGGAGTTACCAGCTTTCAAATCTAGGCAAATAAAGAAATCTTTGAATAATCTTTTTCCTTATCTGTATGATGGCCCTGGAACCCCTCTTTCCTGACCCCTAAGTTAAAAGAGCTATTTGAGAGGACTCTGTGGCCAGGCCTTTATTCACAGACCCAAGACTAAATTCATTAGGTCCACCTGCTTGATTCTGGGCCTGTGCCCTTATTGTAACTGACATGTATGTTCAGTTGCTTGTTGCTTTCAGAGTCCAATTATTAATAAGAGCAAAGTCTGGTATAAAGAAAGTGATTTTTTTATTCCAAAGCTACCTTAGGGGAAGAAAAACAGGCTTCCTGCCTTAAGGGTACCATTTCCCTTCTGGGGCAGAAAACAGGGGCTTTTAAAGGGAGGACTTGGTATGAACTGCATGCTGGGGAGGGAGCGTGTGGGCGGGGGTTCGAGGTTCACTGGACTCGCTTTGGTGCTTTATCTACTGGATGGTGCCATCAAGGGCAGAAGTCCTTTGTAAAGTAGCCTTGTCTGGACATACTTTTTGATGTATATTGACTGTTATCTCTCAAGGCAATCTCCTGATGGGCCAGAGTTCTGCTCTGGAGCTTTTAAGTAAGCACCCAGTTAGATAAGCTTGCCCTGTAGGGAGTGTCTGGTGAAGGGAAGGTAAAAGATAATTGCATTTCTAAAAAGCTAAGTAGGAAGTGGGGAACAGGGAGAAAGAAGGAAAGAGAAAAGACAGGAGAAACAAATAATTTAAAAAATAACTCATTCTCTATCTCTTAGAAAAGTGAGAGTACTCAGTTACATTACCAGGGCTTCAAAACCCAAAAGTTTAGTAAGTGGGAGATTTTTGAAAGCAGCACCATTATTCTGAGGTTAATAATACCCAGGTTTGTGCTGTCTCCTACAGGCTAAAATGAAAAGGGATGTATCCTACAGGTGGCAGTAGGGATAGAGGCCCTCCCAGTAGTCATGTTAAGCTAGTACTGACAAAAAGGGAAAAACCTGTCCAGGTGGCTGGGCAAACCTGCAGCGAGCCATACATAGCCAAGCTTGTAAATCAAAGGAAATGACCAAGGTGAGTCTCAATCATTTTAGAGGTTTATTTTGCCAGGGTTGAGGACACATTTGAGAAAAAGGAACACAAAATCACAGGGACATCTGTGATCTGTGCTCTTTCCAAAGAGGGCTTGAGGACTTCAATATTTAAAGGGGAAAGAGCAGGCAGTAGGGGACAGTGGAAAGAAAGAAAAAAGGGAAGGTAGATAAAAGGGGCAGGTAGTTGCATTCTTTGGGGCTTTTGATCAGCATTCATTGAATGCACATGTGACATGGAAAGGAGGATGTGGAGGAAGAGTCAGTTATGCATTCGTCTAGTGCTTGGTGAATCTGCATTTTTACAGGATTAAATATAGGGTAGACAAAGCAGTCAAATATGCCTTTTTCTCTAGCAAGAGGAGGCACGACTCCTGGGCCTGTCTTTGTCCCGTGCTTGTGAAGATAAGCTGTTAATTTACATTGCCAGGGTGAAATTCAACTGATCTGTTTTAGAATAAAGATCCTGGGGGCCCACTAGGAATTTCCTTGTAAGGAAGCCCGTTGGGGAGTTGTGTGGCCTTTTTTCTTTGTAGCTATCTATTTAGGAACAAATGGGAGGCAGTGTTTGTTGCCTGACTCAGTTTCCAAGCTTGACTCTTCCCTTTGGCATAGTGAGTTTGGAGTCCAGAGATTTTAATTTTCCCTTCACAAGCTGAACAGGAGCCTTGGGAGAGAACGCTCTGGACCGGGGAGTGAGCCATGAGCTCGAGCCACAGGTTCTGAAGTTTTGAAGCCTTGGGACCAAGAGGGTGGTGCTTAGAGGTCAGTGCCACGGGAGGGAGGTCAGGGCCAGGGTCAGACGTGAACCCTCGTGGAGGGCGGACTGGAGACCCCTTCGTTCGGGGGCGGAGGCTTGGCTCCGAGCATTTAGAACTTTTGTGCATTTCCCCGTGGCGCCATCTCTTGGCCAGAGACACGCTTTAACGCAACAGCCCCTCAAGATGTTTTAAGGGCTATACCCTAAAGCCGGGAAGGCAGACAGGGTGGAGCTGGCTGCCGCCGGGGGAAGGCACTTTTGAGCTAGGGAAGGAGGGCGGGAAGGACAGGCGACCTACTTCCCGAATCGCCTGCAAACCCTAGAGGAGCTCGCTCCGCGCTGCGCCACGATGTCCGGGGAGTCAGCCAGGAGCCTGGGGAAGGGTGAGGCCTGCCCGCCGCGAGGAAGGGGTGATCTCGGCGACCCCCGGCGGCATGTTCAAGGCTCCTCCGGGAGGCCAGCCGCCCGGGAGCTTCCCACCAGCGGCGAACGGGCCGGAGCTGCAGTGCGATGCGGGGGCGGCGGGATACGGGGGGTCTCGACACCTCCCTGGGCCCTAATCGCCTTCGCTTCTCCCCGGCAGGAAGCGCGCCCCCAGGGCCAGTCCCAGAGGGCCTGATCCGCGTCTACAGCATGAGGTTCTGCCCGTTCGCTGAGAGGACGCGTCTGGTCCTGAAGGCCAAGGGAATCAGGTGGGCACCCAGGCGGGGGACGCTCCCGGGGCCGTCCGGGAGCTTGCTGCAGGCCGCGGGGTGGGGTGGAGTCTCAGCCCCCTTCGACGCCCCCTCCCGCCAGCGTCCTTTAATTAAACTCTTCTCGGCCCTTTGGGAGACAGCAAGTTATAGACCCTCCCGTAGGAAAAATATGCCACAGATTCTAGCGGTCTAGGACACCTCATTTAGATTAACCAACCAGTTAATGGATTAGAAAAACTGAGGCTCCAGTGATGTTAGTGATTTGCCAGGCAGCTCTTTCAGCTTTGGTAGGTCCTGAATTCCTAGTCCAGAGTCCTTTCGCTTTGGTCCCACTGTGATTCTCCATTCTTATTCCAGCTTAACTGTTAATTGTTATTCTGAATGTATTGTACGCTCCCAGAATAGTAATTTACCTCAGTACAGCAGAGTTCAGACCGTGACCCTCCTCCAGGGTAGTGCTTAGTTTACTGCACATGTTCCTGTGGATTGAGCTGTTGGTTGAATCAAACAGAGGAAAGTGTATACAGTTCATCCTTCTGCAGAGCCTCAGTTTTGAAACTACCATAGTTTTGACTTATGCGCTATCCACAGGACATGTGCAATAGTCACTTGGCTTTTCTGGGACACCAAATATCCATTGGAACCACTCCCCTTCCCATGACCTTTGGATGTCTATTGATAAGACATTTATTTACCTGTGATGTGGAAGGCTGGAAGGCGCTGTGGAAGTTTAAAACAAAACCTCCATTCTTAAGGAATTTTCTGTGTGCTTACTGTTTGTGAACTAATTTTGTCTTCTAAGGGGAGAATCCTTAGGGGTAGGCAATTATCTTCCCTAAAAGAAAGGTAAAATGCATTTTAAAAAAACATTTTGAAGGGGATTAGTCATTACTTCACCAAGAAATGCATCTCATTTGGATGAGATTATGATTCTGAACATATAGCAGAATACTTACTATTTAGTAATGTTTATCAAAAACATTGTCATATTTGCTGTAATAGAACTTTTATTAGACTAAGAGAAATATAATTTTTTTTTTTTTTTTTTTGAGACGGAGTTACGCTCTTGTTACCCAGGCTGGAGTGCAATGGCGCGATCTCGGCTCACCGCAACCTCCGCCTTCCGGGTTCAGGCAATTCTCCTGCCTCAGCCTCCAGAGTAGCTGGGATTACAGGCGTGCACCACCATGCCCAGCTAATTTTTAGTATTTTTAGTAGAGACGGGGTTTCACCATGTTGACCAGGATGGTCTCCATCTCTTGACCTCGTGATCCACCCGCCTCGGCCTCCCACAGTGCTGGGATTACAGGCTTGAGCCACCGCGCCCGGCCTGAGAAATATAATTTAACCGAAATTGAAAAAAGATATTTTTTGGTACTCATTAAATTGAAGAACTCCAGGAGCAGGACACAGCCGGATTCAGGGGCACAAAGTCCTGGGTTATGTGCTTCACCCTGGACGTCTAGTTTGAAAACAACCCTACCTTACTTACTGGGACAGTTTTCCAAAGGAACACTGAAATTATCTTACCATAAGAGTGTAGGGGTAGAGGGGAGGAAGAAGGTGGTAACAGCTTCCAGACAGTGCAAACAACAAAGGTCTACTACATTAATAGGCTAGTTTTAAGCTTGCGCCCCAGGAGGCTTTTATTGGTAAAGTACTGGATTCTAACCACATGACATGACTTAACAAAGCACGGTTTTCTCTAAAAGATTCATCTTCCAACTTGCTGTGGCAGATGTATGGACTTGTTGGCTCACAATGCTAGGTTACCAAAATGCATGTGTGTTCTGAGCTACTTTTTTTTTTTTTAAATTACAAAAGCCCAGGATCTGCCTTTTGTTTTCATAGTATAAATGTTCAAAAATGTTGATAATTCTTGGGCAAGGAGCCAAAGAATTTTTTTTTTTGTTTGCAGTGACTGGTACCTAAGTGTTCAGTGTTCGTTCTGTCAGCACATGAACCTTTTAAATTACACACACATCTGGGCTCATGTTCAAACTAGATGTTCCTTTGTTTCCATGGGGAATATGTATTTAAATCCTCAAAGGATATTTAGATCCTTAAATGTCTATTTAAGATACTAGCCCACCTAAGAACATGGGCTAAGATCTTAAATAGGCATTTTCCCCATCTAGCTACAGCTGTGGGTGGGAAAATAGAAAACAAATGGTATTAGTGTCTATTATTTTTTAGTAATCTGTTTTGTTGAACATTTATTCAGCCTTGATGGTCATATGGACCTGGCTCCTTTCTCTTAGTTCCTCTATAGTCTCAGGCAACATCCAAGATAGACCTAAATACAATCTGACCATAGCCTGGATTCCATCTGTTTTCTTCCTTTTGGTTTACTTTGTGTCATTTACTTAGACAACATTAAAAAAAATATATATCAGTCCATGGAGCTTTAATCTGAAAGCTTATTTTGTGTATGGATTTTTTTTTTTTCCCCGAGACAGGGTCTCAACTCTGTCACCCAGGCTGGAGTGTAGTGGTGCAATCATGGCTCACTGCAACTTCTGCCTCCTGGGCTCAAGTGATCCTCCCACCTCAGCATCCTGAGTAGCAGGGACTACAGGCATGTGCCATCACACCTGGCTAATTTTTGTATTTTTTGTAGAGATAGGGTTTCATCATGTTGCCCAGGCTGGCCTTTAACCCCTGGGTTCAAGTAGTCCACTCACTGCAGCCTCCCAAAGTGCTGCGATTACAGGTGTGAGCTACCCCGCCTGGCCTTGTGGGTGGATTTTAAGGATTCCTTAATATCCTCATAGAAAACAAGAAACTTTTTACTCCAATTAGCAAAAAAAAAAACAAACCCTGAATTTTATGTTGGTTCTCATATAGTGGGTAGTGGACACAATTCAATTAGTTGCCTTGTATGATTTATAACTAAGATACCTCTTGGCCATAAATGGAGTGTCTTATTGACAATTTTAAAGCATTTGCACAGATTTATTCATTATTCATATGAAATATTTCAATACAAAAATATTTACTGAGTCCTTGTCTGAGACTTTTTATTTTCTTCATAGCATTTATATCTATTTAGCATTTTGCTCATTTACATGTTTGTTTATTACTATGAACGGATACACAAGATCCCACCTTTTGTGGAGCTTACATTCTAGGAAGATAACATAGTAAACTTGTAAATAAGTGAGCAAAGTAATTTCGATACATATTATCAGTTCAATGAAGAAAAGTAGAACATGATAATCATGTAATAGAAGCTGCTCCACAACTTCAGAGCTGTGGTCAGGGAGGGCCTGGAGATGTGTTTGACCTGGAAAGACCTGGGAAAAGACAGGCAGAGGAGGCAGAGGACCATCAAGTGCAAAAACTCTAAGGTGGAAACACATTGGCAAATTCAAGGAATATAAAAAAGGCCAATGTGTAGAAGAAAACATAGGGAAAAATCTTTATGACATTGACCTTGGCGATGATTTCCTGGACATGACACCAAAGCCCAGGCAACAAAACCAAAAAGAAACACAACATCAAACAAAAAGCTTCCATACAACAAAAGAAATGTTTAACAGAGCAAAAGCAACCTATGGAATAGGAAAAAGTACTTGCAAACACATATCTGGTAAGGGGTTAATCTCCAAAATACATAAGGAATCTTTACAACTCAACAACAGAAAAAAAACTCTGATTTTAACATGGGCTAAGATCTTAAATAGACATTTCTCAGGCTGGACATGGTAGCTCATGCCTATAACCCAGCACTATAGGAGGCTGAGGCAGGCAGATCACTTGAGCCCCAGAGTTCAAGACCAGTCTTGGCAACATGGCAGAATCCTGTCTTTACAAAAAAATTAGCTGGGCATGGTGGCACATGTCTGTGGTCCCAACTAGTTGGTAGGTAGCAGGATCACTTGAGCACAGGAGGTTGAGGCTGCAATGAGCTGTGATCAAGCCACTGCACTCCAGCCTGGGAGACAGAATGTCAAAAAAAATTTTAAATTAAAAAAATAGACATTTCTTCAAAGAGGACATGAAAATGGGCAGCAGATATATGAAAAAGTGCTTATCACTAATCATCATGAAAATGCAAATCAAAGTCACATAATAACCTCACACTTGTCAAGATGACTATAATTCAAAAAAACAAAAAGTGTTAGCAAGGATGTGTAGAAATCAGAACCCTTGCACACTGTTGGTGGGAATGTAAAATGGTACAGCTGCCATGGAAAACAATATAGATGTTCTTCAAAAAATTAAAAAAAGAACTACCATATGATTCAGTAATCTCACTACTGGGTATATATCCAAAGTAATTGAAATCATGTTCTCAAAGAGATACTAGCACTCATGTGCACTGCAGCACTGTTCATGACAGCATAATGTTAATGTCCATCAACAGATGAATGGATAAAGAAAATGTGGTAATGCTATTCCACCTAAAAAGGAAGGAATTCTGTAATACGTGACAATATGGATGGACCTTGCTAACTAGGACATTATGCTAAGTATAATAAGCCAGGCACAGAAAGACAATTACTGCATGATTGTACTTATAAGGTGTATCAAAAGTAATCAAATTCATAAAATCAAAAACTAGAATGGAAGGAATCTAGGCAGACTCCTAAATTTGGGGTCTAATCAGCTAAGTGCATAGCAAAGCCAGTGAGGATTTATCCAAAAGCACAAAAGTTGTTTCCTTCTCTTCAGTCTCCTGTGTGTCTTTCAGGCATGAAGTCATCAATATCAACCTGAAAAATAAGCCTGAGTGGTTCTTTAAGAAAAATCCCTTTGGTCTGGTGCCAGTTTTGGAAAACAGTCAGGGTCAGCTGATCTACGAGTCTGCCATCACTTGTGAGTACCTGGATGAAGCATACCCAGGGAAGAAGCTGTTTCCTGATGATCCCTATGAGAAAGCTTGCCAGAAGATGGTCTTCGAGTTGTTTTCTAAGGTTTGTGCATAAGAAATTTCAGCTCCTATTTGAAAAACCTGTTTTTTAAAGCTAAATCAATGCTGTCATTTATGATTCAGTGATTTGGGAGAGAAAAACAAAAAGGAATATGCTTGTCAGCTCTGACATGTCCTTCAAGTCCTTTCACAATCCAGTTCCTGTTTACCTCCAAAGTGATCCCTTTTCACTCGTCTCCTGACACTTTATATATTCCAGCCACACTAAACTTTTTTTCAGAATTCCCAAATTTACCCCTTTCTCTCTCAACTCTTGCTGTAAGATTCTTCCCTCTTCTCACTGTGCTTGGTTATCTCCATGTTATTTTTCAAGTATCTGCTCGGACACTGCTGCCTTTCAGGAGCTTGTCCAGGCTGGTTAGTGCTCTAGCTTCTGAGTTCCCATCCGTATGAACTTTTGCCTGCCTTCTTGCCTCTGTACTGCACTGGGCTGTGAGTTCTTTGAGGGTGAGGGCTGTGTTTTGATCATTGTTGGTTCATTGCCTAGTTTTGTAACTGGCTCTGCTACTCTTGTGACTCTGAGCCAGTTACTTAATACTTTGCCTCTCTATTCCTCAGTTCATCATTGACAAAATGGATATAGTAATTGTTTCCACCTCATAAGATAAAAATCAGTTAATATAAAACACCTAGAGTGGAGTATGACACACGGCAGTTACTTAGTTCTTGTCCTTATAGCCACAGCGTCTAGCAGTGAGCATCTACTTCGTGTTGGCAATAACTCAGATGACTGAATAAATGACATTCCTGTAGAACTGTTTGTACCTTAATTAGCTTCAATGTTATGGATTAAACAATTAGTATTAACAAAGAGATGACTAACAGATGTGTATTTAGACACCAAAAATAGCATGTCTGGTTATATGCCTATAATATTGTCATCTTGGTGACAATGGTCAGTATGATCAGTGTATAAAGAACTAGCTTTAGAGAAAGATATAGTTAAAGAAATACCCTAAGAGAGAGTTACAGGGAGAACATTCTGTTTTAAAATACATTATAAAGGGAAGCCAATGAGAAAGGAAGAGTGAGTCACCTGCCTAGTAAGATGAGGGTGAGGGCTGGGCGCGGTGGCTCAAGCCTGTAATCCCAGCACTTTGGGAGGCCGAGGCGGGTGGATCACGAGGTCAAGAGATCGAGACCATCCTGGTCAACATGGTGAAACCCCGTCTCTACCAAAAATACAAAAAATTAGCTGGGCATGGTGGTGCGTGCCTGTAATCCCAGCTACTCAGGAGGCTGAGGCAGGAGAATTGCCTGAACCCAGGAGGCAGAGGTTGCAGTGAGCCGAGATGGCGCCATTGCACTCCAGCCTGGGTAACATGAGTGAAACTCCGTCTCAAAAAAAAAAAAAGATGAGGGTGAAAGAAGAGTAGAGGTGGCTGCTGCCAAAGATAATGTAAAGGGAACATGACGTTTTCAAGAAAGATGTTGGAGAGTTTTACAACGTAAAAACGTAAAGTTAAAGGCATGAAGCTTCAAGACACAAAGTCATCAGTATCAACCAAAAAAGTAAGCCTGAGTGGTTCTTTAAGAAAGATCCCTTTAGCCTGGTGCCAGGTCTGGAAAACTGTTTTTAGTATGGCTGGAATATAAAGTGTCAGGAGAAGGCAGAAAAGGGATAACTTTGGAGAGGTAAACGGGAACTGGATTTGAAAGGACTTGTCAGACACGTCAGAGAAAATAAGCTTTGAAAGTAAAGCTTTTAGGCATGAAGCTTTACTTTCATGCATAAAACTACTACTTTAAAAAGCAGTCACAAGAGATTCATTGTGCTATCTAGAAAGAAACTGAGCTTTAAAAGTAATGCTGAAGATACCCACCTTTACTTCCCTGCTCACTTTTAAAGGAGCAGTGGCCTTATGTACACACGACTTTGCTCTCCTGGCCACAGCCCATCAGAACAGAAATATACCCCACCCCTACACCTGGACCAGTCATCTCCTTTCCTGGGAACTTGGAAATGAGACATAGAGACTAAGACAGTATAGGTTAGGACAGTAAAGACATACATTAGAGGCTGGAAAAATCAAAGCCACTTAAGAAATAAATTTTTAGAAGAGCAAAAATTCAAAGCATTGCAAAGGGACTGAAGTATGGAAAGTAATATGGAACAGAAATTTAGGGAAAACCAAATGAAAGACCAGGTAGGCCCAGATGGAAATGTGAACAAAAGAGCTGCCTGAAAGCCTTCAGTCCCAGTGAAGGCAGGCAGAACTGATGTGGATGGGAATTCACAGGATTCTGTATTTTTACAAGTGTCTGTTTACTTAAACTAGGATGAGTGGACTTCCGTGTCTTGCAATGAAATGACACCAAAGACCGATGTATTAAAACATATAAATACCATCATGAGCATTAAAGCATCTGCTGCTACACCCGTCAGTTCTTTAGGTAGCCAGTCCCTTTTAACAGTCCCCTGGTGTCTTCCCCATTATAGAAATCAGAAAAATTATCTTCCCTAGCTCTTTGCAGTTGGGGCCAAGTTTTGTGACCTCAGCTCTTCCTGTCACACATACACCATGGAGTTCAATTCAGAAACGAGCAAGGTGAAGAAACAGGCTTGGTGGGATATCTGTTTAAGATACTCAGCTCTCCACTGGTTCTGCAGGTGAGAGTGGTGACAGTGCTTCTGGGTTTTGGCAGTGTTGGTTACAAGATAAAATTCCAGAGTAGAAATGGCAGTTACTTCAGACTCCATTTTCTGGCAGCCACACAAACTGGAAGCCTCTACTGCTCAGCTGCACTGGCAGCAGTGGGCACTTCCCAGTAGGCCAATTCTCAGCATGATTTGGGGATGTTCTGTCTTAATTCCAAGCCTGTTTGCTCAACCTCCCAATAATTCTATGCGCCACTCAATCTCCTTTAAAGAAAGTTGTGTTGGCCGAGTGTGGTGGCTCATGCCTGTAATCCCAGGAATTTGGGAGGCTGAGGCAGAAGGATCACTTGAAGTCAGGGGTTCGAAACCAGCCTGGCCAATATAGTGAAACCCCATCTCTACTAAAAATATAAAAATTAGCTGGGTTTGGTGGCGCATGCCCGTAGTCCCAGCTACTAAGGAGGCGGAGACAGGAGAATCACTTGAGCCCGAGCAGTGGAGGTTGCAGTCAGCTTAGATTGAGCCTGGATGACAGAGCAAGACTGTTTCAAAAAAAAAAAAAAAAAAAAAGAGTGTCTCTTAAATGTGCCAAAGTAGGTTCTGTTATTTATAATTTATAAAATCCTGCCAACCCAGCATCTTAGGCCACAAAACTGTTCCTAAGACCAGTCCATTACCACTGTGAGCACAGGAACTTGGTACACCCTTGATGTTTCTAGAACACCTTGATACCAGGACCATGAGGGTTCTATCATGTTTGTATGTGAGGGGGCCAATATAGTTAGATGTAAACTGATTAACTAAGAAATTATTCTCTGTCTAGGTGCCATCCTTGGTAGGAAGCTTTATTAGAAGCCAAAATAAGGAAGACTGTGCTGGCCTAAAAGAAGAATTTCGTAAAGAATTTAGCAAGCTAGAGGAGGTAATCTGTTCTCCTATCATCAGAGTAAACGATGACTATATCTACCCTCCTTTTCCTCCTATTCTTTTCTGCATACTCCCACTTCCCAAGTCACTTTGTGGCAATTAGAAAAATTCCCATAAAGATTTTTGTTTACAACAGACTGCTGTTATAAAGCAGAAAGCTGTTCTGCTTAAGATATAAATCAAAACACCTAAAAATACTTAGTCATGGGCTTGCTTTTAAAATATTTTGCTGTGTTAACATTAAAATAACGGAAAAAGAAAATTGTACCCACGTTTCCACAAGTTTTCATGCATCCAGTTTTCCATGCTTGTTTGCAGTCCTCGTCCATATATTTTTTTAAAAAATTAATGTAGCTCTAATCAGAGCATAGATATCATTCTGCGCCCTGTTTTTCAACTTAGTATTATATACTAAATATTTCCTACAAGAAAAAGTTTGCAAAGAACAGTACAGACACTTGGGGGAAACCCAGATGCATTTTACCTCTTTCTGGGGAAAGCTGACATTTGGGCCTTGGAGTCTGCCTTTTGGCCTTGAGACATTTCATTCATGCCAAGCCTAAAGTTTTTACTGACAGAGACATAGTTCCTGTCTTTTATGGGAATGCATTTTAACATTTTATCAGTAAGTATGACATTTGCTGTAGGTTTTTCAGAAACCTTTTTTTCATTCTAAAGTTCTCTTCTATTACTAGTTTGCTAATTTTTTAAATGTTGACTTTCATTGAATGCTTTTTCTGCATCTGTTACATCTATTGAAATGTACATAGAATTTTTTTCCTCTTAATCTGGTGAATATGGTGCTATTGACAAATTTTTTTTAATGTTTAGCCATCCTAGCATTCCTAAGATAAAATCTACTTTTTCTCTATGGATTTTTATATGTACTGTACGATTAGCTAATAGTTAAATGATTTTTGTATGTATGTTCATAAATGAGATTAGCCTGTAATTTTCTATTCTTACAGTATCATTATTGGGTTTTGGTACCAAGGATATTCTAACTTCATAAGATGAGTTGGGTAACTAACCTGTTTTTCTAGTCTCTGAAACCATTTGTTAGGGACTAGCAGTTTCTATAAAACATTTGAGCCTGGTATCTTTAACAGGGGTAGATTTTTCATTACTAGTTTGATTTATTTAATGGTAATTGGTTTTTTGGTTTTACATACCTTTCTGCTGAACAGTGTAGGAGCTGGAAAGTAAGATGCAGTCCATATTCTTCAGATAATTAGTTTAGTTGTACACAGAACACAAGAGGTAGACATAAGCAATATAAAATGCATATTATGCATTGAGAAAAACTATGGAGGTTATTTAGAAAGGGCAAATTAGTTTGGTGTTGGTTTAAACCGCCAGATAATATTCTCAATTGTCCCCTTTGGCAAACCCTTTAACAAATTCGCCTTCTTAAAAATTTCAAACATACAATTTGTTGGGTTTTCAAATGATTGCCATCTGTTTAGCAGTTAATTCAATCTATTTCCAGTATATTTTAAGTACAAATACTTCTGCACTTACAATGGAGTTACATCCAATAAACCCATCATTAAGTTGAAAATATCCTAAGTAGAAAATGCATTTAATAAACCCAACCTACAGAGCATCATAGCTTAGCCTAGCCTGCTTTAGATGTGCTCAGAAAACTTCCATTAGCCTGCAATTAGGCAAAACTGTCAAACATAAAACCTATTTATAGTGTGTTGAATATCTCATATAATTTATTTAATACCTGTATCCAAAAAATGCTGGCAACACAGTACACATGAGGGTATTGGTTGTTTACTCTCCTGATGGTGTGGCTGCCCAGCATCAAGAGTATCATACTGCAGCCGGGTGCAGTGGCTCACGCCTGTAATCCCAACACTTTGGGAGGCCAAGGCAGGCGGATCACGAGGTCAAGAGATCGAGACCATCCTAGCCAATATGGTGAAACCCTGTCTCTACTAAAAATACAAAAATTAGCTGGGCATGGTGGCGTGCCCCTGTAGTCCCAGCTACTTGGGAGGCTGAGGCAGGAGAACTGCTTGAACCCGGGAAGCTGAGGTTGCAGTGAGCCGAGATAGCACCACTGCACTGCAGCCTGGCGCCTGGCAACAGAGCAAGACTCTGTCTCAAAAAAAAACAAAGAGTATCATACTGCAAAGCATAGCCCAGGAAAAAAGCAAAATTCAAAGTTCAAAATACAGTTTCTACTGAATGCTTATTGCTTTTGTACCATCATAAAGTTGAAAAAATTTAAGTTGAACCAACATAAGCTGGAGACTGTGCATTTATATTGAAAAATTAATATTTTGCAATTTTTAATGTAGAGAAGTGCCCAAAGCATAAGAACATAACACATTTTCACAAAGTGAATACAGTCATGGAACCAGCACCCTCATCAGCTATCAAAATATTGGTTTGGGCTTTTTTGTACTTTATACAAATGGACTCATATAATATTCATCTTTTGGGTCTGCCTGCTTTCATGCAGCATTAGATTTGTGAAGTTCATCTATGCTGTGTGTAGTTTTTCCCTATTCTTGATACAGTGTTCCAAAATATAGTATACTACAGTTTACCTATTCTACTCTTGATAGTAAACATTTTCACATTTGGGCTATTACAAATAGTGCTGCAGGGGACATTCACATACCTATCTTTTGGTGAACATGTGTTACATTTCCAAGTAGAATTGCTGGGTGATAGAGTATGCATACTCTTAAAGCATGGTTGTACCAATTTATACCTCTACGACTGGTTCCAAACTCTTGCCAACTTTGTTCATTTTAGCCATTCTCATGGATGTATAGTGTTATTGCATTTTGGTTTGAATTTGCATTTCTCTAATGACTAATGCAGTTGAACACCTTTTCAAATGATTATTGGCCATTTGGACATCTTTGGTGAAGATCAAGTCTTGCTCATTTTTCTAAAGGGTTGTTTGCCATTTTTCTTAATGATTCCCAGGAATCCTTTCTATATTCTGAATACCAGTCCTTTGTATTACAGATATTTTGTACTCTGTGACTTGTTTCATTTTTCTCAATTTTCCAGTTTATGTTGTTGTTCTGCCTCATCCCAGACCAACAGATTCTAAAGCTTAATTAAGCTTTTGGATCAAATGGACAAAAACCCAACTTGGATGTTACCAGAGTAAAAACTGCTTCTCTCACCTACTCTACTTAATTTCCCTTCAGCATTTCTAGTGAGTCTTAGTACATGCACAAATAAGAAATACTTTTGTGCTGTTTAATGTTCAGGTTCTGACTAACAAGAAGACAACCTTCTTTGGTGGCAGTTCTATCTCGATGATTGATTACCTCATCTGGCCCTGGTTTGAACGGCTGGAAGCAATGAAGTTAAATGAGTAAGACATTTGAATATTTTGTGCATAATTTAGGATGATAGTTGGAATAGTATGTATTGACCTTTCTTTTATTTAACAAACGTTAAAATATTTAATACAACTGGTCAGAATGAGAACAAGCAGACAGGACAGTCTTGGACTACCCAGGGCATGTCATACACCTACACTATTCTCCATCACTGGGAGGGGGCAAGGGATTTCTGTGACATGTAGTAAAGTGCTTTAAAATTTACTCCTTCCTTCCTGATTAAAAATCCATAAGGGGAAGGGTGTGGTGGCTCATGCCTGTAAGCCCAGTACTTTGGGAGGCTGAGGTGGGGGGATCATCTGAGGTCAGGAGTTAGAGACCAGTCTGGCCAATGTGGTAAAACCCCACCTCTACTAAAAATGCAAAAATTAGCTGGGCATGGTGGGGAATGCTTGTAATCTCAGCTACTCAGGAAGCTGAGGCAGGAGAATCACTTGAACCTGGGAGACGAAGGCTGCAGTGAGCTGAGATTGTGTCACTACACTCCAGCCTGGGTGACAGAGCAAGACTCTCTCTCAAAAAAAAAAAAAAAAAATCCATAAGGTGGTAAACTAAGGATGTTGTTGCGGGACTGTATGACCAGTGTTACCTCCCATTTACCAGTAAGCGCTCCACATTATTTTCCAAATTCGGTTTTGAGTTTGGCAGCCACCTTGCCTTACTCCCACTTCTTGGACATTAGAGCTATTCAGGGTTACTTTTGGTCATAATCTGGGTGTAAAATTAACATAGAACATTCCTGATTGTTCTCATTTTAAGTTGTCACTTTCTCTCTTTGAGCAAGTTCTCACATTAACTGAACAAGTCGCTGCACTTTAGTCTCATTCCAATTGTATAAAAAAGGGACCTTTACAATGTCTTTCAAATTGAATATTTTATGATTACATGTATTTAAAAATATTTTAAATGAAATATTTAAGGGAAAAAAATGACATTGCAGAGTAATAAATGGGAGACTTTGTGATGTCATCCTAGTTGACCTAGCTCATGCCTTTCATTTTTTCCTCTTCCCACAGGTGTGTAGATCACACTCCAAAACTTAAACTGTGGATGGCAGCCATGAAGGAAGATCCCACAGTCTCAGCCCTGCTCACTAGTGTGAAGGACTGGCAAGGTTTCCTAGAGCTGTACTTACAGAACAGCCCTGAGGCCTGTGACTATGGGCTCTGAAGGGGACGGGAGTCAGCAATAAAGCTATGTCTGATGTTTTCTTTCACTAATATGAATAATAACATGCTTTTATTTTACCAAGGGCTCAGGTTGCATGGGATCATCTTCTCTGACTGATTTGACATCAATGGCCTAACTGGGGGGTCTCAAGGCCCCCCAACAGAAATGGAAACACATTTCCCCTGTTAGGATGCTAAAATGACTCTGAGGGTTCTATCATAGTCCATGCTGAAAACCCCCAAATTATCATCTCTAGCAAAATCTGTACTTCAATATAACTTTCTAACTGCTCACAGGAAATTTTCACTTGGTTACCCTGTTGTGATTTCAAGAGATGCTCTCTCGTTTCTTGTCTTCTGGTTTCTTAGTTGAGAAACTTTCAATTCCTTCTTCTTTGATTTCTATCATCAACTTAATTTCACTACTTTTGCCACTGAAGACCGGACCTACATTACCCCAAAGCTGGGTGACTGGGCAGCATCCTATTTGGTCTCCCAGTCTCTAACTCCTTCATATCCTTCCTATCAAATCCCATGCTGAGCACTTAGGTGTGGTGTCCCACTTAGGTGTGGTGTCCCATTAATATTTCCCACTGGGAAATATTAATGCCATCTTCCATACATTTCCATAGGCCACTGGGTTTCTCACTATTTCATTTTTATCATCACATCACCACCACGAGAAGGTAGGTCCGAGAGCATCATTTCATTCTACAGATGATGCAACGAAGGTCCGTCCAGAGGTTAAGTGAGGCCTTAATGTGCTGGCAGAAAGATCACACCCAACACACTGCCCTTACCATCGGAATCGGGGCTGTGGGTCCGCCCCAATTGTCTGGTTGCCCGGACTTATTATCAAGTTCGCCATTGAGAGAAACCTCCGAATGACAAATTCTTACATTTAAGGGTGCATAATCACCTATGGCTCACCACTGCATTTCCCATTCATCAGGCTGGGGCTGGCCGCGAAGTCTGTATTTGAAATGCCCCCGCACCCCGGCCCCAGGTGATGCAGGCGGTGTGGGGGCCGCACCCGGAGGGCGACCAAGAGCCGCTTGACTTCACAAAGGCCTCTTGCCGCCTACCTTCAGCGGCCACCAAGGCCCCGGCTGCCAGCGGCGGCGGACCGCCTCTGCAGCCGCGCGCCTTACGGAGCCGCTAAGCGCCGGTGGCTTCCGGCGGATTTCCCCTCCGGTGCGGAGCCGGGTGCAGCTGTCCCACAGCCAACCACTACGGGCTTCCTCTTTCGCCATCCACCAGCGCCGGCGGGACCCGCGAATCCCGATCTCCAGCAGCCTGTAACGCGGCCGCCCATTGGCTCAGCCGCTCTGCTTGGCAAACATTTCCAAAGCTTTGAGGATTGGCTGACGCTCCGGGCGCCGCGGCTAGTTGGCGGGTAGGATCACGTACAAGGGGCGGGCCTCGTACAGGCCCCGCCTTCTTGCTGCTGCCGTCGTCAATCCCGGTCTGGTCTTGTGCGTTCCCGGAGGTCCCTCGCGGGACAGCTCTCACCGCCACCGGGTGGGTCCGTTCGGCCTGCATTGTATTTGAAGGGAAGAGGAGTTTGAGGTCAATTCTGTTTCTTGGGGTTTACACGAATTTCAGGGCCCGCAATAGGATTGCCAACTTTAACTTTTGCTTAACACTTTACGGGAAATCCCATTTAACCTTGGCCAATGCTGCATCAAAGAATTCCACATCCAAAAAAGTGCAACCTAAGAATGAAGAACAGGGCTTTAAACCGCATACTTTTAACTTAAGGTGTTCTTATTTTTCTGATTTGGCTGGAAACAGGCGGAGACCACCCCAGATAACCAGTTCTCAGCCTTGCATGGAACACCATGAGTACAGTTACACTACCTGTTTAATGCACTGGCAGGCAGGGAAATTTGGTTTCCAGGAATGTGCTGTCTTTGTGAAGACTATGAAAAGTCTTCCCTGCTACATTCAAATAATCATGAAAATAGTAATAGCTAATGTTGAACGCCTACTACGTATCAGACACATGCTAAACATTCAGTGTTTCTCATCCAGTTTCTGAATGAAGCCTTTGCAAACCACATAATGTGCTGGTACTATTAGCTACGAGTTACATATAAAAACATCGGAAAGTTGTCATTTGCCCAAGGTCACCCAGCCAATAAATGTTGAAGAGATTAGAATCTAGCCTGAACTCATAGTAAGACCGTTCTTGAGATTAATTTACATGTGCTATTGTTCCGGTCTCTTTTTATCCAACAGATCTCAGAGAGGATAATATCCTTTTGACCACACCATTATTCCTGGGATTTAACAGGAGTTGATGTTCTTTTTCCAAACTCAATGTGTTGTGTTTGATTTTACAAATTATTTTACTTTTGCTGATTTCAGGATCTTGACAATTTGCCTTATTCAAATGTTATTATACAAAATATTTATTTTAAAAGTTTTTTTTTCTTTGATTCCCCAAGTTGTAAAGAGAAATACGGATAAGGAAGCAGAATCTAATACTTAAAAAGCCTCGTTTGACCCTGATTTCCCTATTGGTAATATGAAATTTCTCCTGAATACAGACACATTTGAGAATAGAATCTTTTTCCTAACTTGTATCACTTTTTGAACTCATTGAACAATAAGAGAACACCCAGTAATATCATCCTTCATATAAATTAGGCTTCTAACATATTAAGAGAAATGTACTCCAGTTTCTGCTACTATCAAGAGACTGGCATAACAAAAAATTTTGAAAAGTTGCCAAATGCAAACCACAGATTCTTTTCTCAAAATAGAGTGTAAATAGAGTGTATTTAAATAGAGTGTAAGTTAAATAGAGTGCATGTAAATAGAGTGTAAGTTACTTCTTTGGTGGCATTATTTTCCTAGAAGGCTTAAGTCATTAATCACTCATGAGCAAAGATCCAAACATTTTCAGAACAGATCTGATCATATTTCAGATGGCTGAAAATGGATTTGGAGTAGGTTTAATATGGTCTAATTACAGTTTGTTTCATGATTGAGTGAGTCAGCATAATAAAGGTATAAACATGAAATAACACAGAAGGAAAGTTTGCAAAGAGGATTCAAAGAAGTACCTGTTGGATATTCAAAAGAAAGTAGGGATAAGCTTAAAGGTCATAATTAAACTCTTTCTAGGGAAAGTACAGTGTTCAGAGGTAAGAGTAAAAACCACATTACTGAAACATAGCCTGCAGCATTCAGTCCATTTAAGTGGCATTAAACTGGTAACTGAATCACAATGTGCTTCACCTTTATGGAAACAAAATTGGAATGCACTCTGCTATTAAAAATGTGTTCTTACTAATTAGTGTTTGTCATTAACTTTGACATATACTGAGCTCTTACTGTGCTGATGATGCCCTGGACGATTTGATTCAATACTCACAACAGCTCATAATGTAAGTATTGTTGGTGTTCTCATTTTGCAGGTGAGGAAAGTGAAAGTCAAAAAGTTTAGATAGCTCACCTAAGTGACAAAGCTAGGTCTCAAAAAGTCAGTCCATTGGGTTCCAGAGTCTGTTCTGAGAACCTTGACACTAGATTGCTTGCCTTTAGAGGAGAACAGTTTCCATCCCTGTCTTCTGACTCTACCAAATTAACTTGGCGCTTCAGAACTTGGTCTCCCATATACAGATACACTTTTAATAAACATTTAACAACTCTCAGACTTAGTTTCTTTTAAAGGGTAGGAATGAAGAAACAAAACTTGGAAAATCATCCTGTTCTGGCAAAGTAGAAAGGTAAATCTAGGAACCTTTTAATTGACAAATGGAATTCCCAGTTTGGCCATTGTTCAGAGACCATGGATCGGCAAACTAGGGCCATTGGGCTACATCGAACCAATTGTTGGTTTTTGTGTAGCTCAAGATCTAAGAATGATTTTTTACCTTTTTAAATGGTTGGGGAGAAAAACCAGTCACAATGTGATATGTGAAAATTATATGAAATTAACCAAGAGTGAGCCCTAATATTATTAACTATGAATGCTGGGTGATAATGTATCAGTATGGGTTCACTGATTGTAATAAGTGTACCTCTCTGATTGGGATATTGATAGTGAACGAGACTGTGGCTGTATGGAGACACAGAGTATATGGGAAATCTCTATTTTCTGCTCAATTTTGCTGTGAATCTAAAACTGTTTTTAAAATAAAGGCTATTAAAATATATATACAAAGTTCAAATTCAGTGTGTCCATAAATAAACATGGCCACACCCATTTGTTTATTATCTATGGCTGTTTTTATACTATAAGTAGAGAGTTGAATCATTGAGACTAGATGGCCTGAAAAATCTAAAATATTTAATATATGAAAAAATGTTTGCCAACCATTCAGTTCATTGCAACTGATAAAGACTAAAATTCTGGTTGAGATTGTTGCCCCTGGAGTTAAACTTCCAGGGTTCCTAATCCTCCCTTTTGCACTTACTAGTTGAGATGTGCTTAACCTTGCTAGTCTCAGTTGACTCATCTTTTAAGTGAATCAAAATAGAATACTTATGGGACTGTTTTAAGAATTAAATGAGTCACTACACATGAAGCACCAAATACATATTAGTAATAATTTAGTTCGATTTTTAGATTTTGCATTCCTCTTAAGGCCTTCTTTTTTAGGCTATGGATATATTTTTGTCAACTATTTTGCAGTCTGCTTTGTTTATATGAGGGGTACATGTGTATGCCCAGAAATCATCTCTTTATCTACCAGGAGCTCTAACATGACATGGTTATGTTTCTTGCTTCCATTTTACCATCCAGTTTGTCCTTCTTGATCAGAATTAGCTCCAAAGTAGTAGAAGTTACTCTATTACTTTCTCTGTCTTCCGAAATGAAAAGTTGTCAGCTTAGCAAGCCAGGAACTAATAGTCTTCTCCAACACCAAATTTCTTGCTGATATATATGCATTTTATTTTCAAACATTTTTGCCATTCCCTGATTCCTGTAAAATGACAGTACATTCCATATTATTATCTGAGCTTATTTCGCATGAAATCATTAAATGACGGCAAACAATATAGTTGAGTCACTATTCTGAAGATTTGCAAAGATTCTCATTCACTAGCAAAAAATGTTAACACTATTATTAACTAAGAAGTTCTAGATAGACCAGAACTCCAAAGGCCAAATAGCACCTACTCATAACCTACATAATTAGGTTCTGTCATTTTAATAAAAGATATTTAGATTAACATTTGTTGAGCAGCTATTATGTGCTATATCTTTTTCTGGACTTAAAATCCTTTCCTTCCAACACTGTTACCAGCTTTAAAGGCCAAGACAACGAGTCAGGCTTTGGACTTTTAAAGTTCTTCAACCCTTCTAGCTGGTCACTTTGGGCAAATATTATTTTTCTGAAGCTGTTTTCTATTTTGCAAAGTAGGAATAATACAAGTTGCCTGACTGAGCAATTGTAGGAATCAAGGTAATCTACAGAAATAATTTAGTCAGTATGAGTGAGACACATAAAATATTTTTCTTTCCTTCATGACCTGTTAATCCCACAAAATGCATTTACAAGCAATTTCCACATCAGCTCAATCCTGGAAAACTCAAGGAGTTATTTTTTCACCTGCTGAAATTCAGGATCTCAGTTTATCAGCGTCAGAGCCAAAGCCACCTCCATTATCTCACTTAAATGGAAAAGCTGTGCCAGTGGCCCCTATATGGCTGGACTGTTGGCAGTGTACCCTTAGCAACTAGAAAGAGTTTTCTCAAACGTTTATGCTGGGGAAGGTGGGGAGCTCACAAATTGTTCTTTGCCTCCAGGCATCTTAATTTTATTCATTGCCAGTTTTTCAGAGCTTGGGTAACAACTCACAAGTAGGGCCAGGAGTGGGATGAGGCAAGTCAAGTGTCTAGGGTGCAAAATGTGAGGTGTCTAGACACCAAAGGTGTCTAGGTGTCTAAGAGGCACTCACTCTCCGGGGCACGTGAGATTTCAACATTAGTGACTTTTTCTTAGTTGCTGTGTCACGAGAATGTTCGGCCTTACCATATATATATATATATATATATATATTTTTTTTTTTTTTTTTTTTTTAAGATGGGGTTTCACCATGATGGTGATGCTGGTCTTGAACACCTGACCTCAGGTGATCCACCCACCTTGGCCTCCCCAAGTGCTAGGATTACAGGCGTGAGCCACCGTGCCCGGCCTCAGCCTATTTTTTAAAGCTGTGCTTATTTACAGAAGTGTGGCCAATTGTCTTAGTGATGCAAGAGATTCAGAATGGGAAAGAAAAAGCGTTATCCTAGTCAATTTTGATTAAACTCCCTTCAAATCCATGTTGGAGTTTAAATGCCTACTCGAGGGATTCTTGATATGGAAGAGGCTCCTGCAAAGCTCTGAGCACATGTCCAAAGCAAGGGGGGAGCTTTTCAGGTGTTACTTTGTTTTGTTTTATTTTTTGCCAGCTCTTACTTTCTGGCTTCCAAACCCGGGGCGATGTCTCCCCAGGTTAAATTACCCTAGCTCCTGCTCCAGATCGCCTCCCTTCTGCTCCGCCAGAACCCAGTAGTTCAAAAATTGGATCTGGGACAAGAGGGGCACGCCAGAGCGCAGCTGTTTCTGGAGCCTGCGGCAGCGGTGGCAAGCCACCCGGTGACGACCGTGAGCGCCAGGCGATGCTCAGACACCTGGAGACCCTGCCCGAGGATGCGGCCAAGGCCTTGGGGAAAGGTGAGTCTTCTCCTTGGAGTCACGAGCTGGGGGCGCCGCGTCCCCGAGAATGTTGGCTTTGGCGGAGCTGCCTGGCTTTGACCTGCAGACCAGTGGGGCAGGGAGGGACTTGGAGAGCTCCCCGCAGAAAAGCCACGTGCAGCAGTGTCCTTTCTGGGACTTGGAGCTCGCACAGCCATCCTGGGATCCGGGCAAATGAGTGAGCTCCTTCCCCATCGGGCTGATTAGCCTCTCCTTCCCCTGTCACCCTCCACCGCTGCTCTGCAGGAAGCCAGCCCCCAGGGCCAGTCCCAGAGGGCCTGATCCGCATCTACAGCATGAGGTTCTGCCCCTGTTCTCACAGGACCCGCCTCGTCCTCCAAGCCAAAGGCATCAGGTGAGAAGCGGGAACCCAGAGGCCCCTCTCTTCCCCAGCAAACCCAGACCTCACAGGAGCCCGGGAATGTTTAACATCTGGGGCCCCCTGCTCAGATTTTAGAGGGCGCTCCCTGTCCTATATTCCGGAGGCAGTGTCAACAAATAATTAGCAAAGGGCGGACATTTTTTTTAGCGGGCCCTACCGAAATGCGGAGCCCTTTTCTGAGTCACACCTGTGCATGAAACTTCAAGGCCAGCACAGAGTAAACTGAATGACGGGGCTGGTGAACTGCTTCCCTCCCATAATGTTTGTTTAGGAAAGGCACAGCCAAGGCTACTGAGGCCTCCCCTAATTGCTCCACGGAAGTAGTTCCCCACCACACCTCAAACATCTTAGGTACTTCTGTTTCCTTTCTTTATTGAACTTACTGCATCCAACATTTTCTTATTTGTTCATCCATCTCCCCTCCCCAGCTCCCTTCACCCATGTGAGTTTTTGAGGGTAGGAACGCTGTCTCTTTTGTTCAGAGCTAGAAGAGAGCCTGTCATGTAGTGGGTGCTTAAAAAATATCTGTTAAATGAATGAACAAATCTTCCCAAACAATTACATAGAAGGAATTGCTATCAAGAGATTGTTTCATATTCTTCCAGAAGGAAGTTTGCAAGACTAACTCCTGCAGGTCTGGATTTGGAAGGCAGAGCAGCTCTGCTGGGGCGTGCTCTGCATAATGCAGCTGGCCTCCAAGCTAGAGTGTTGAGAATATGTCACTCCAGGCTCCCAACCCTTGTCTAGGAGAGTCTGTCACAAGGGGTGACTTCCAAGTTTCAGACTCGTGTGAGAGAAATACAAAGACTAATAAAGAGATGTTTTAAATAAAATTATGTAAATCTGACTTGTTAAGTAGGGCATATATTTCCAGATTCTTCCCTTTTGCTCAAATTAAGTTGACCCAAGGTTACTTTTTTTGAGGAAAATAACAATAACTGGATGTTTTTCCCATTTGGTGATAAATTATCAGCTTAGGAGCTGATGCATTTCTTTAGGGCAGGGTTTCTCAACCTTGGGACTGCTGACAATTTGGGCCAGATAATCCTTTGCTGGAGAGATGAGATAGAAGCTGCCCTTTGCATCACTGGATGTTTAGCAGTCTCCTTGATCTCTACCCATTCAATGACAGTAGAGTTGCCCTTCCCTATCCCCACCTCCAGTTGTGACAACAAAACAATGTCTCCAGAAATCATGATATGTCCCTGGGGAAGGAGGGCAAAAATCACTTCTGGTTGAGACCTACTGCTTTAAGTTTTTTAGGTCTTGCTATGTGGACTACGCTGCTCTTGAACTCTTGGGCTCAAGCAATCCTCCCACCTTGGCCTCTCAAAGTGCTGAGATTATAGGTGTAAGCCACTGTGTCCAGCCTCTGCTCTAGGTTTTAAGACAATCTCCTAGACTAAGCAACAAATGTTCCCATTTGTTTCCTTTCATCTTCTTTTTTCTTTTTGAGACAGTGTCTCACTCTGTCACCAAGGCTAGAGTGCAGTGGTGTGATCTTGGCTCACTGCAACCTCTACCTCCTGGGTTAAAGTGATTCTTGTGCCTCACCCACCCCAGTAGCTGGGATTACAGGTGGGTGCCACTATGCCCGGCTCATTTTTTTTTTTTTTTTTTTTTTTGTAGAGACAGGGTTTTACCATGTTGGCCCGACTGGTCTTAAACTCCTGACCTCAAATGATCCGCCCGCCTCAGCGCCTCCCAAAGTGCTGGGATAAAGTGCGTGAATCACCACACCCAGCTCCTTTCGTCTTTTTAAACATATGTTCATGCTTCTGGTAACTTTATAGTTACCTAAATAATAATGGTATTATTTGAACATCTAATGATTAGAAGAAGAATTAAAAAGTTATTGCATGCTTATGTGTTAGGCACTGTCCTAAACACTTTATACATATTCACTTACTTGATCATCACAACAGTACCAAGAGATGGGTATAATTATTAGCTCCCATTTTATAATTGAGAACACTGAACACAGACAGGTTAGGAATTTGGTTAAGGTTCCAAGTTCTGGCCCAGTCTGATGCCAGAACTCATGCTCTTAATTGTTAATATTTGCCATATTCTGTATTTTCAAGCTGTAAAATGTGCTAAACTCTCTCATGCCATGGTTAAGTGCATGAACTCTGAGTCTGTCTGCCTTGCTCTGATCTTGGCTCTACTACTTGATGATAATTCTTCTTCTTCTCCTTCTTCTCCTCCTCCTCCTTTTTCTCCTCCTCCTCCTCCTTCTTCTTCTTCTTTCTTTTTTCTTCTTTTGAGATGGAGCCTTTCTTGCCCAGGCTGGAGTGCAGTGGCATGATCTCAGCTCACTGCAACATCCGCATCCCATGTTCAAGTGATTCTTCTGCCTCAGCCTCCCAAGTAGCTGGGGTTAAAGGCACCCGCCACCATGCCCAGCTAATTTTTTGTATTTTTTAGTAGAGACGGGGTTTCGCCATGTTGGCCAGGCTGGTCTTGAACTCCTGACCTCAGGTGAGCCGCCTGCCTCAGCTTCCCAAAGTGCTGGGATTACAGGCATGAGCCACAGTGCCTGGCCAGCTGCTACTTCTTAGTGGGTGGTATTGGGTGTGAGTTTCAACCTCCTTGAGCCTTCTTTCCTAAGAGGTGAGCCTACTTCTTGGGGAATTATGTGGAACAACTGAGACAGGCACAGAAAACATCCCAAACATCTTACTGGCAGGAAGGAAGATGATGATATTATGTATTTTATGCAAAACTTAAACTTTGAAAATCTTAATTGCAAATTTTAACTTTTAAACTGATTGCTTCTGCCTTCAAGAAGAGTGCCTGCCTACAGATGCCTCTGATTTTTGTTCTGTCTTGTTTTCCTTTTGCTTTTTAAGACATGAAGTTGTCAACATTAACCTGAAAAACAAGCCTGAATGGTACTACACAAAGCACCCTTTTGGCCAAATTCCTGTCCTGGAGACCAGCCAATGTCAACTGATCTATGGCTCTGTTATCACTTGTGAGTACCTGGATGACGCTTATCCAGGAAGGAAGCTGTTTCCATATGACCCTTATCAACGAGCTTGGCAAAAGATGTTATTGGAGCTATTTCATAAGGTATATTCAATTTAAAAATCCACTCACACTCTATTTTACTTTGTATGTTTTTCCCAAAGCTCAATCCATTTTAAAGCCAATCATTGGTGAACTGTTTTGTTTTGATACCATGTAAGCCTCAGGAGATTAGCTAGCATGGAGTTAGGGTAGAGTATGGCCACTGATATTAAAGGCTTAACTGCTAGGTACTTCTCCACTTCAACTGGCAATCTCAGGAGGTATGGTTATGACATGGCAATCTCCATGTGACTTGAAGCAGGAATATAGAAAGAACCGAAAACTCGTGATTCTTAAAGGGAGTATTTCTCTGGCTTCAGGTAAAAAGTAATGGAGTGTAAATATTACGCATAGAAGGTGATGCTTTTTTTTTTTTTTAGACAGAGTGCGTCACCCAGGCTGGAGTGCAGTGGTGTAATCTCACTCACTGCAGCCTCTGCCTCCTGGGTTTAAGCAATTCTCCTGCCTCAGCATCCCGAGTAGCTGGGATTACAGGTGCATGCCACCACACCTACTATCCTGGTCAACATGGTGAAACCCCGTCTCTACTAAAAAAATACAAAAATTAGCTGGGTGTGGTGGCACAGCCTGTAGTCCCAGCTACTCAGGAGGCTGAGGTAGGAGAATTGCTTGAATCTAGGAGGCAAAGGTTGTGGTGAGCTGAGATCGTGCCATTGCACTCCAGCCTGGGTATCAAGAGTGAAATTCCGTCTCAAAAAAAAAAAAGAGAAGTACATTTCTACTGAGAAGTAGATTCCCGGAACCACAGAGATAATCTAGTGCCCCTCACAGGGAGCTTGGGGCAGGGGGCGTTCTGTACGTGGATGTTGCCCTGTTAGGCTGGAGTTATAAAGTTTTGCTGCCTGTTCAGGCAGAGCAGGAACATGAAGTTTCCGAAGACTTCTCCACTGAGAACCTGTGTCCTCTGATTAGGTCCCACAATTAACCAAGAACTGCCTGGTAGCGTTGAGATGTGGGAGAGAATGCACTGGCCTGAAGGCAGCCCTGCGTCAGGAATTCTGCAACCTGGAAGAGGTACAAAAAGGGGCCCCTCTCCTGGTCAGCTACAATAGAGGAAGCCAGGCAGGGTCACTAACCTGGTCACTCTGACACCTGCTTTCACAGGCTTATTCTTTCTGCCAGACTTTGATAAGTCAGGTTCTGATCATCTGATTGCATGTTTGCCCTTCTCTAACCTCCTCTGGAATTATTCTGGAAAATCTGATGAGGAGTTTGGGAGGACATGCCATGAGTTGCTTCCTTTCCCAGAGTCACCCCTTCTCCCCGAGTATCTCTGCATGGCTTCTGTAGCTTCTGCCAATGAGGTCAAGGTCTGTAAAGGTTAGGGATTGTATTTGGCTGCTGGTAAAGGGAGTCTAACTACTGTAAATTCATGTTCATAAGGGTTTAATCTCTCACATAACATTCTCTCACATGTTATAAGGGTTTATTCTGTTACATACAATGGCTCACACCTGTGATCCCAGCACTTTGGGAGGCTGAAGTGGGAGGATCACTTGAGCCCAGGAGTTTAGGATCAGCCTAGGCAACATAGCAAGATCCCACCCCTATAAAAATAGTTTTAAAAAGTTAGCCAGGCATAACATTGCATACCTGTAGTACCAGCTACTTAGGAGGCTGAGGCAGGAGGATTGCTTGAGCCTGGGAGATCGAGCCTGCAGTGAGCCATGATTGCACCACTGCACGCTAGCCTGGGCAACAGAGTAAGTAAGACTCCAACTTAAAAAAAAAAAAAAAAGTCAGAGGTAGGCAGTTCAGGCCTATTTTGAGGGCTTCTTCTGATGTTACCAGGAACTGAAGCTCTTTCTCTTTATGGGCCCTGTCATCCTTAGCGCAACTTAGTATAAGGCTATCATCCTCAAAATAACAAGATAGCTTCTGTCACTGCAGCCATCACATCCAAGTTCCAGGCTCTGAAAAGGAGAATATAAAGAAAAAAATGGCAAATGGCCATGTCCCTCTAAAGGGTTTTAAATCCTACCAGAAATTCTACCCAATGGCTATTTACATTGGCCAGAACTTAGTTGTAGGGTCATAACTATCTTAGGAAAGTCTGGGAAAGAGAGTCTTCTAGCTGGGATATGCTGAATAAAATCAGGGGTCTGTAATTAAGGAAGAAGGGGAAAATGGGTGTGAGTGGCAGGAGCACTCTTTGCCAGTAGGTCCTTCATTAACCTGGCAGTAATGGAGCTATTTACTCTGTACTTCTAGAATAATCTGGAAGGCAGTTCTTTAACTTCCTTTTTGTTCCAGAAACTGATAAATTCCCCTTATGGGTGGGTGGTTTCTCTATTGGCAGCCGAAGAATATGATGTTTATCCCCTTAAGGGAAGACTGGTTATTAATACTCTTCTATTTGACCTTTATCAAGTGGAAACAGATTAAATGTATTGACATTTCCAGTTACCTATCTTAGATTTGTACAGTTGAGTATTTATGGATGACAAATGGACATGCGTAGGAAATGTGTACCTTTTATCCTGAGGTCACCAACTGTGCCCTTGACCCTGAAGAGGCTGTATGATGTGGTAGAAAGAGTCTTGGATCTTAGGCTTGGCCTTACTGAATTCCAGAACCTCGGGCAAGGTTCTGTACCTTCCTGGGCCTTGGTTTTCCCATCTGTAAAATGGGGGATTGCTTTGAAATGTGTGTTCCTCAGAGCCTCTGGGTTCTGCAGGGGACTGCCCAGCAAGTGGAAGCCTGGTAGATGGTTCCAGACACTGCTTCACTCAGGTCAACACTGCCTTTAGCCACCATGTTCAACCTGACGTCTAATAAGATGGCATTTGGGGAGAGAGGAAAGCTGCTGCTTTAAAAAATAAGATTGAAACATCATGTGAATAGAGAATGCATAGTCTTTATTTTAAAGATCAGCTGAATGGACCCCATCATGCCTAGTGATCTTCTCACAGATAAATAAATGCTAGACTGTGGAAAGGAACTGGGGGGAAAAAAAACCCTTTGAATTCAAAGATACAGTAATTGAAACATTTTCATCAGACTCCCACCTACCTCCATTTGGATGATGGATGAACTTTCTAAATTACAGATTGCTACATGAAAGTATAGGATTATAATGGAGATACGGTTCTTCTTCAATCAGGGGTCTTTTCCAGGGCAAGTGAACCAATATTTTGTGCCATGAATCTTACTGCAGATACTTTGCGTACATTATCTCATTTACTCTTTCTAACAACCTTCTTGGGTACAAATGGCACTAGTCCTCCAGTTTTGCAAATTGGAGTGGCCTCTCTGTAAAGGCTCAGAACTAGGTATTAGGAGTAAAAAAAATTAAATACTACGGAGAACCAGCTCGGCTGGAGGGACCCCCCCCTCCCGCACAGGCAGTGCTGAAGGCAATAAGAGGCAGACACCCAGATAGAATAGTAAAGTGGGTCTGTCCAGGGGACCAGCAGCCTTCCGAACTGAGAGCCTCAGGGGCTGACAGCATTCCAGGCTGAAGGCCCTGAGCAGATTCTGATCCACGTATTTATTCTCTCTTAGCAGGTGATTAACAAAAAGGTGTTCTGTATTTTCCCACAACTCAAAAATATACCAAATAGGCAGCTGTTACCTGCTTACCACTAACTACAGACAAACTAAAAGGTATTCTCCACGAGGGAGCCATAGGGGCAGGGTCAGATATCTCAAAGAGTTGTTTTAACTGGTGTATGATATTTATACATTGTCCTGCCACTTCGGAATGCCCCAAGTGGCTTACCACTAGGGCAGGGGGTCGGCTAGGTTTTCCTTGCCATTGTTCTTCCTAGCAAACAATATATTCTATCATACACTCAGCATTCATCAATATTGATAAACTTAATATTTTTCAACAAAATACCCTCAAAGGGTTCAAAGCCTGGACGAGGAAATAGGCTGTTACGCCCATTTAAAACCTGGGTGTGTGGAGTGCTAGGCTGGAGACATGCATATGAGAAGATTGGTGTGTAGATAATGCCTCTGTTGACTCTTAGGATGAATTAGAGGCGCAAAGGCGAGAGTCTGGTGTGTTTGGCAAACAATAACTAGTGAGGGGTTGGCAGCGAGGGAGTGATTGGTAAGAAGTGAATGTGGAGCATGGACCAAAGTCAGATGCTAAAAGGCCTTTTCTACTGTGCCCAGGGATGTGTACTTTATTTCAGAGTTGATGGTGAGTAACTGAAGCCTGTCAAACAGGAGAGTGGTGTATTCCTTCATGCTTTTAAAAGTATTTAGCCCATCGCTTGGGAGTGGGAGGTGGCAGTTAGCCAAGGCTGCACCAGTGCACTCCAGCCTGGGCGACAGAGTAAGACTCTGTCTCAAAATAAATAAATAAAGTATTCAGCCCAGCTGGGCTGATTACAGTGGCTCAGCCCTGTAATCCCAGCACTTTGAGAAGCTGAGGTAGGAGGATCACTTGAGCCCAGGAGTTTGAGACCAGCCTTGGCAACAAGGCAAAACTTTGTCTCTACAAAAAATGCAAAACGTTAGCTTGGCATGGTGGTTCATGCCTGTAGTCCTAGGTACTTGGGAGGCTGAGGTGGGAGGAACACTGGAGCTCAGGAGGTTGAGGCTACAATGAGGTAAAATTACACCACTGCACTCCAGCCTGGATAACAGAGTGAGATCCTGTCTGAAAAAATGTTCAGCCCAGCAGTATTGTAGACGATGGATTAGAGTGACCAAGAGCAGGGACAGGGAAGGGACAAAGAGCACCCCACTAACGAGGCTGGAGAGGAAGGTTTAATTAGAGAGATTTTGAGGCACTAAGATGAGATGGAATCTGAAGAAGGAGTGGGAGTTATCGAGCATGGTTTTCAAGTTTGTGGCCAGTAAATGTGATGCTTTTCACTAGGCGTTTGAGGGAGGACACATTTTGTCAAATTTGTGGTGTTGATGGGATATTCATGTGCGGACAGAGCTTAGAAGAGCAATGTATGGTCTCTGCTAGACCTTTGGAATGGTTTTATGGGCCATGAGCTTTAACCAGAGAGATTAGGAATGTTGTCAGTGGTGTGGTGATAAATGTTTAACAATCAGTTTTCTCTGAAAAGAGAAAGAAAAAGCAAAAGCACTGATTTATAGCATTTGCTGATTTGGATGGTGTAAATAATTCCACCAAGGCTAATTTTGAGCTCCCAATATGCTATCTCCAAACTCAAGAGCTGACAAAAGATGTGGGCAGCTCCAGCATGTCATTAAATAAGACGTTTCACTTTATCTTCAGTAACTGAGCCCCAGAAACACCATTATTAACCAGCCTCTGTGTAGGTAGCTTTCACTAACCAGCCTCGGTGTAGGTAGCTTTCACTGACACTATTTAAGGACCCCTGAGTATTCCACGTTGTCCTAACAGGTTTGAATGTTGTTTTGCCTCATAGAATGTTAACAAGAATTGTAATTACTGCTGGGCCTGGTGTCTCTCATTTATAATCCAGGCACTTTGGGTGGCGAAGGAGGGAGGATCACTTGAGGCCAGGAGTTCAAGACCAGCCTGGACAACACAGTGAGACCATCTCTCTATTAAAAATAAAAAAAAAATTAACTAATCATGGTGGCATGTGTCTGTAGTCCCAGCTTCGCTAGAGGCTGAGGCAGGAGGATCTCTTGTATCCAGGAGTTTGAGCTTGCAGTGAGCTGTGATCATGCCACTGCACTCCAGCGTGGATGACAGAGTGAGACTGTCTCAAAAAACATTCCATCAAAATCAAAGATTTATTGTGCTTGTTATAGAACCACATTTTTCTCTAATATCTTTTATAATTCTTTGAGATATATTACTGCTGCTTTTATTATCAAACAAGCAGCCTGCTCGCGGGCTTTCCTGTTCTGAACATTGGCATGAGTTTGTTCTTTTTTTTTTTTTTTTTTTTGGAGACGGGGTTTTGTTCTTGTTACCCAGGCTGGAGTACAATGGCGCGATCTCGGCTCACTGCAACCTCCGCCTCCTGGGTTCAGGCAATTCTCCTGCCTCAGCCTCCTGAGTAGCTGGGATTACAGGCACACGCCACCATGCCCAGCTGATTTTTTGTATT